TTCGATTTCCCTGAAAACACTTTCGGGAGACGTCGCGTAGAAATGACCGAGGGAACATCTTTAGCGGAAAATTTTTGAGTTACATTCTGGAATTTTTTGTGAGACTTCCTTGTCTGGGGCATTTGTTTAGTATTACCTTCATCAGGTGAAACCCGAATTTGAAATCTGTGAAGCCACCGTGTTCTACAGGGTCCTCCCGTCTATGCAAAATTCTTCCTTCTAGGTGAAAGCTGATGGCCTGATAGTCTTTTTACCTATTGGAAATTGATCACAAGGAATAAATGCGCTCGGAAATGCCCGTACCCGCTGCCCGATTATGTATCGACAGTACAACATAATACTTTAGACAGTTCGAAAGCACCGAGGAACCTTACACCTAGAATTTCACATACCGGTCTCTAGCCAACGGAATGAAACGGCCGATTTTTGGGCTTCCCAGCGCCTTAAATTGATCTTTATTAACATCCAAGCTTATATTGCCAATATTTTTCTTCACAGGGGAGTGCATCCACCCGAAATCCACTCGGAATCCCGGAGGGGTCCGAGGGGAATTCCACTAGCGGACGCGAGTGGATTCCACATGGAAATCGAGTGGATTCCGGGTGGAACGCATGGAAATCGAGTGGAAACCAAGTGGATCCACTCGGTTTCCACTCGATTTCCATTTGCCGCGACGCGTGGGGCCCGCGTTGCGTCGTGCTTCCACTCGATTTCCACTGCGTCCACCCGATTTCCACCCGATTTCCCATGCGTTCCACCCGAATTCCAGGTGGAATGGAATTTGGGTGGATGCACGGACCTGTGTTCCCCGACGCACCCTCCAGGGATAGAATTGCGAGCGAAAAGCCTGTAGGTGTTTGCGTGGTTTCCTGCAGTTTCCTTTATATGCCCTATACATAGGTCCAAAGATCAGCAATATCCGATCTGTCTGCAGGCTGATCCGTTTGTTCCGGTTGTTCCGGTGTGCAGACAGGCCCCTTGTCATGGGGCCTCATAGAGGGCCAGTCGTCTATCAGCAGATCCATCATGATCATTCCTCGCTTCCTCATAACCAGACCAAAGAAAAGTCGGGCAAAGAAGTTACGAGGCGGGTCTTTAGGCTCTCTCTCTCTGTGTCTCTCTCTGTGTCTCTCTCTGTCTCTCTCTCCTCATCTACTTATCCCAACCGGGCCGTTGATTGGAATGAGCCGGAGACAGCTGTTTCCTCCCCCCAAAACTGGGCCCCAGTCATTTCGAAAGATCGATCCTGGTCACATACACCGGCTACGGGTGACTCCTCTTTGCAGCCTTAGCCAGAGGGCCCATCCTGGCAAAATTGTCCCAAATTACTCTTCATCCCAATCGCCCTGGTCGAAACGGACAGTCAACAACTTGGTTTTACGGACCCTGGATCGGGAGGGTGGAATTTTTGGTCTGGCAGGAATGTGTTCCGGTTTTTCGGGCTTTTCCTTCATTTTCGCTAGTTTTTGAGGCTTCTAACGGGAAGGGAAAAACGTCCTGAATTTTTTTGGATTCGTCATTAATTTAGACTCATTTTAGAGTGTTCCATGCCTCTTTCGTGGTTTTAAAAAAATTTTAGGGGAATGAAGAGCTTTTAAACTTTTCCCGTCCAGCCTAAGGTATCGTTTAAATTTTTAAGGCTTGTAAGAGCTCTTTTTAAGGTTTTCCTTACGTTCCCTCATTTATTTCCCCTCTGAAAAATATCTCTAATCCTCTAAAAACTTTTTGAATCGTAACTATGAGAAATGTTGTAAGACTGCGCTAAGGTTCGAATAAAATATTTCATTTTCCTCTTTTTTGGCTTTCGGATGGCCCAGTTTCCCAATTTTTCTGTTTTTATGGTGTTGCACAACTTTTGTGGCCGTTCCAGGAACCGGGGGACGCTCCGTTTATTCAAGTTAATCCCCAGGAGATGCAAAATAAAAAAGGCTATGTAAACCCCGGGACCATAAACAATTTCGCGCATCCCTGGGAACAAGGATAAACAGAGCGAAATTTGGGGGAAATGCGTTCCATCTCGTTCCAAATTTTTTGACGGCTACTTGCAAAATTCGGATTTAAAAATAATGACGATTTTTGGATAGCCAAACTAAATCATCACCAAGTTTTAAATTCGATTGTATTATTTTTCTCTAAAAACCATAAAAAACGCGCATATTAAAGTCATTGTGCATTCTCTTAATTTTCAACTCAAAAATTCCCCAATGTTATCCTTATAAAACTTTACCTTTATATAATGTTTCGAATTACAATATGTCATTTTAGCTTTTTCTTGTGGTTTTGCTGGGGGTCCTAATTTTGTAAATGCCCACAAATTTCATTCTTGTTCATGTTTACCCTAGTAGCGTTTTAAGGTATTTTAATGCATTTTTGATACATGTGCGTGGGATCACCAAACTCTCCTTAAATCGCCTGACGTTGTTGACCCAGAAAAATTACAGCACCCGGCACATTTCCGGTAACGCAGAGAAGCAGCACCCCATAAGTCATTAGTTATTTTACGAGCATTTTTGGGGAAGGTCCGGCCGCTAAACAGCCCTCATCGTAACACGGCCATTTGGGCCCAACGAAGACTGGCCTGAGGGGGAGCAGGACCCAATGGACCCAGCTCCTAAAAAATTGCGGATTTCGTGGATAGGTGCCAATTTGGGTGGATCTTTAAAGTTATATCGAAAACACTGTTTTTCCCGAGATTCTAAACATTTTTTTCGCCTACCTTTTTGGACTTTGCATCGATTTGCATCGACTTCCGGGTCCGAATCCCTAATTTCGCTTAAGATCCTAGGTCATTTTGCGTTGTAAAAATTGCTTTAATCGACGCTTATTTGGTTAATTTTAGTCCGGTAAAAATTTCTTAAGGTAAAGAAGGCCTACCGGAACATTTTCACTTAATGTTTAGAGGGTCTAATTCCACGAGAACTCTGTAAAATATGAAAAATAAAGTTTATTTTTGTTATATGTCGAAGACTACTGTAGCTATGGGGCTGTAAGTCAGGATTGTTGTTATTTAGGGTCTGATACACCTCTCTTCCAAATTTGGGGCCGGTCGGATATAACACGGCGAAATGCCAGATGGTTCGTTTTTTTGGGACACCCTGTACACCTCTTTGCGATTTTTTAAGGGTTTGGCGTACGAGCCTTGAGAGCTTCATAATGTTTCCACGCTCGCGATACGCAGCGCACGCTGTTGCACCTTCGCGTCGCTTGTCGCCCATGCAGCAAAATTTTATGCGCATTCATCGGTCGTAAAATAGTCTTGCCTCGGACGTCGTTGTAATCAAAATAGAAAGATTGCAATTGAAATGCCTGTAATTCATATTGCAGTTTTTCCCGATTTTTAGCGTCGAATTCACCTCATAACAACTCAATTTTCTCTAAATATTCCTCCTTTCAGGGTCCCACCCGTTGCGCCGGCATCATGCCGGCTACCTGGCCGCCGCTTGCGCTATTTTTTCGCTTTCTAACGGCACTTTCTGTATTCTATTTGGCGCGGGGGCAAGTGTTAGAGAAATCACGGTCGGTCTGGGTGGAGCAGGGATTGGTCAGGTTTGGAAAAGTATCCTTTCTCAATTAAAATATTCTAGAGGTAAAATCTACAAAATTGATGACCGATTCGTGCAAATATTCCGTGGTATTCCATATGCAGAACCACCGATTGGAAATTTGAGGTTTAAGGTAGACTTTCATAATTTTTACGAGATGTGAATTGGTTTTATTAGGTATAGAGGGGCCGGAATTACGTAAAAAATCCTGGTCGGATTCCAGACCCGTAAAAATGGCTGCTCTTTTTCAAGACGTTTATCAAGAAAATTCTGGCGCAAAAATTTATGTAAGTTGCAATTTCAGAAACCCGTCAAAAAGACACGATGGCACCAAGAGCTCGGCGCCATCGAATACGGGCCTCCATGCCTCCAATTCATGGATTTTCATCGGCATGACCGATATGCGAAGGATAATATGAAGAGGGAGAGCGAGGATTGTCTATATTTAAATGTATTTTCACCATACGTAAGTTCTGAAATTATCTGGATACCCAAACTCAAAATTAAACCTCGAAAACCCGGGTCAGAAAGATAAATGTCACCATTAGGAATGTTATGCCAAACTTTGAAATTTGCATTACCGAATAAACCTGTCAGCTATTTTTTTAGGACATGGAAGACGAGTCAAACCTCTACCCAATCCTTGTCTGGATCCATGGTGGCTCGTTTTTGGCCGGCTCCGGAGACACGGGAATCGATATGGAGACCGTGGCCCGAAATATCGTCTTCAAGGGCGTCACCCTGGTCTCTATCAACTATCGTCTTGGACCGCTAGGTATCTCAAAAGTCATTAAACAACGCTTCAATTATTAGGTTTCATCAACATGTACGACGGGGAGAAGATGGAGGGCAATTATGGGCTGTGGGATCAGGTAAGAGAGAGAGAGAGAGAGAGAGAGAGAGAGAGAGAGCGAGAGAAAGAAAGAAAAAGCGAGAGGGAGAAAGACACATAGAGAGAGAAACCACCTTTTTGAGATGATGGCTCTCCAATGGATCCAGGCCAACATCAAGCAGTTCAACGGCGACCCCACCCGAGTGACCGTCATGGGGGAAAGTGCTGGAGCTGCAGCCGCTTCCGCATTGGCGTTGAGTCCAAAAACTACGAGTGAGTTGAAGAATTAATCAAAGGGGTAAGAAGGGGATTTTAAATACTACTACGCACCTTACTATTGACGCTTCTAGGCGGAATCGCGTAAAAAGCGTACTTTTCTGTAAAAATCGCCACAGTTTCGGAGCAGAATTTTACCGCTTTTTCTATTGATGCTGCCACTTGAAATGTAAAAACCTTAAGTGTAGGATTCCATTTCAGCCCTCCTCCACCAGGCCATCATCATGTCGGGCAGCAGCGGTGCGGGCTGGGCCCTGCACCGCCATGGCACCCCGCAGTGGAGCGTCGACCACATGGCCTCGTACTTGAGGAGCGTCCCCTTCAGAACCCTCCATCAGGCCCTCAGGCGCATGCACAAGTACAAAAGGCGATACCGAGGAATGCGAAACCCGAGATTTCGGTTTTCCTAAACTGTCCGAATCTGGGATACCTTACAGCTCCCAGTCCTTTCAACCTGAACCCCCCAAAAACCCTGAAATTAAGTTACCTAGCCTCTCCGTACCACCCTCCGCACCCGCACTATCCTCGTACGCTTATACTACCTGTGCATGTGTCTGGAAAATGGCTGGAAGTCAAAGGATTTTTCGGATTTCTATTTGTTACCATACCTTGGAAAAACTCCAGAGATCCATCTTGCAAAAGATGAAAAAGATCAAAATCCAAATAAAAAATATTATTTTCACGTTCCCTTGACTACCAGCAATTTGTGTACCTAATTCGAACGTACAATTTTAGGTGTGAAAAAGCGATCAGCGAAGAAGACGCGGCCGAAATTGTTGGGGATGACTATTCGAAAGATGAAGTCATGTCCAAGCACTGTAACTACCAGGATCAACAGATTGATTGCTTGAAGAATGTAAGTGTAAAAAATAATGTGAAGCTATACAAAAGCCGTTCAAAATACAAACTCGTGCTAAGTCACAAATTCTCAGACCGACCTGAAAGCCAGCGAGCTGATGGATTGCATGAGGAAAGAACTGAACCTGACGTCGGCTTTGTTGCGTAAAGCCTTGGCCATTGAGGTAAGCTATAGCCAAATTAAACGTTATCCTACTATATATAAAAAAATAGTGTTTGTGTGTGTGTGTGTGTGTGTGTGTCATTTGCATGCAACTTCCGTCCGTATGTTCCAGTCGTATCTCAATAGGAGAGGAAGTTAAGAGTACGTATGATACGTCATTAGGTGCGTAATGGTCATGACACGACTGCACGCATATGAGATTTTTAAAAATCAGCTGTTTTCGATATTAAAATTCAGTTTTTGTGAAAATCTCGCTCGGCCTCTTTGTTAGGAATCAATTTGCATGCACCGGAAGTGGAGGAAGCCTATATAATGGGGGAGAGGACGCGCTTTTCATTTTTCTGCACAGGAATTCAGGTGTTTATGCAAAGTGTTGAAGTGTGGGGGTAAGACCGGGCCAGGGTCGAAAAGTCGCGAAGCGGCTTTTCAACCCTGGTTTAGAATAGGACAATAACAAATAATGCTTAACACCCGAAAAAAAACTGAAAAACCTATCGTCAACAATACACCATTTATTCTTGGAATCACTAAAGCTGCGCTAAACAAAAAATAGTAAATAATAAAAAATTAATAAAGAAATATCATCCCAAAGCATCGTAGAGCGTTAATAAACTAAAAAAATACTTCTAGCTTGGCGTCTCCAAGCTAGTCGTTGATGGTGACTTGGTACCGTCAGCCGGCCCTGAGCTCCTCCTCAATGCCAGGATCCCGATACTAACCGGAGTTGCACGCAGAGAATGGGCCCATAAGAAACGTAAGCCACAACTTTGATAGCTAATAACGTTAAATTTCTAGCGCAATTCTATTCCCTTCCCAAGAATAACAGCTTGGCGCGAAAGGACGTGGAAACGGCGGTGTATCGAATTATCGAGAACTCGTTCCACGTTGGGGCTAATGTAAAGCAAACTACTTTTTCTTAAACTGGAAGACTGATTTTAGGATCGGTTATCGAACGCCACTCTCCATTTGATCGCAAATGCATCATTCGTGCGGTATATGGACGACCCGTCAAATACCTACGAAACTGGACGAGTGGTTCATGCTTTGCAAAACGTGAGTTAGAGCTTATAAAGCTCATATACGGTCAAAAAACGGCTTGAACATCAACGAGCAGTAGAAAGATAGTAAAACAACGTAAAAACGAAAAACGCTCTCAATTTGCGAATATTTATGATTTTTTGAGCGCCGGATTAGGCTAATAAAGCACTGTTTAAGGCGCTCAAAATGTATTAATATATAAAGGCATCTGATATCAATCGCGAAAATCGGTGCTTTTTTGTAGCTATGCGATAGAAATAAAATTATATCCCCTTTAGATGGAAGCCGATATCGAGTTTGTATCCCCGTGCCAACGTGAAATCAACGCCTACGCGCAGAACGGGGTTCCGGTCTACGTCTACTCGTTTGATTACGTCCCAGAAAGCCCGATTTATGAAGAGGTATCAAAAATCAGCTCTATTTTTGTTATACCCTTCTTATTCTACAGGAAATGAAGACATTCCATCTTTTTGGCAAGGACCCGATCAAGGTGGAGCGACGGGATGGCGGGGGTGAGTTGAAAATGTTTAAAAACTATTTTAAGGCGTATTTGTTACGTTAAAGAACATAATTTCGAGACTAGCAGGTTAAATATAGCTTTTGTAACAAAGCCTTACTTTATTAATACGTTTTACATTAACTTCTTCTTTAGAAAAACGTCTCGACGCCTTTCACGGCCTTGACCACGCCTATATCTTCTCAAGGGGCTACAGCAGCAATTTTGAGGTATGAATTTCTTTAATCAAATACGTCAAATACCATTAGATAAAACCTTTTACGAAAAAGGACGAAACCCTGTCGACAATGCTAACCAATATGCTGACGAATTTCGTGAAAACCGGCGACCCCTCGACAAAACGCTTCGCATTCCCACCCTTCACTAATGAGAGCAGCCAATATGTGTCCATCAACGTGCCGCCAAAGTCAGTTTTTGGCTTAAAATTAGAAATTATTATCGTTCTATTACGAGAAAACAAAATGGGCTTCCACTACGTTAAATTTAGAATCGAAAACGGCGATCTCCATTGGCCAAGCCCGAAATTTTGGAACGTTGAAGCGGAATTGATCTCAAAATATGTGCCCAGAGACGGGGATACAGTCGCGGATCCTGATGCCGATTTGACGAATGAGGAACGGGTTCAGGTGAGTCAGAAAGGATATAATCTCTGTTCTTGGATTATTCTTGGAAAACGTTAAATAACAAAAGAGGAACCGAAAAGAAGACCTTACCGCCATTATAACTCTCTATGAAGGTTGTTAAACCGAAAAACAGCTCAAAAACTTTAGCTCGGCGCCTATCGACGAGCCTGGTGGGCCCTCTGGGTCCTGGTGATCATTCTGGCGGTCGTCATCTGGGGCATCGTTGCCTATTGTATCCTCAGAAAGCAGTGTTCAGTTCGGTGAGTATCAAGAACACTTTTTCAACTACAAACTTGAAGATGAAGCCCACAATCAAACAATTTCAGATCAAAACCCTACGATAACATTGTCGTGCCGCGCTAGGAGCGACCCGACTCGGCGTCCAACTTCCCAAAACCAAAGAGCTTCGACCCCGGAAAGTCTTGAAGAAGATCCCCCTCCCCACACCCCGCGAAAACATTGTTCCGTTGCTCAAGTGATACTCATTTTGATAAACCGTTTCGATTTACTTTGAATTCTACATGAAGGGGTCTAATTCACGGGGTTTTTTTCCGCGCACGGGGGGTGCGGGGGGCCTGGCCAAGGCGGCGTCAGGCGGAGGGTCAGGGTTCGATTCCTCTCCTCGCATAAAATCATCACATGGTTTTGCTTTTTTTTGCAAAATACCCAGAAAAGCGCCGACAACAAATCTGTGGCAAATCTCAGGCAGAAAATTAGGAAAATGAGGCCCTAACGAGAATATCGTCTTGATAATCGCTTCAAAGCGTTTCAAATCCTTGTTTTTCCTCGCGATCGCTGAGATTCTTTTACCAAAATGTTCCCAAGGGTCTTCTCTACAAATTACCAGGCGGAGAATTTGTCATTTTTTCTAGAAAAAAAAAAGTTATAGCCACTAGAAGGGATTTTCTAATACATTTTGGGGGCGAAAAGGGGGCGTGGCCTCGCCCATTCCCTGTCTCCCTCTCGTGCGCGCCCCAAGTAAGGTTAAAATAAAAACCCCGTGAATTTAGCGAGTTTTCAGCTATACGTTAGCAGAAGAGCTTACAAGTTAGTTTTTGTTAGTTTTCTACTAAAAGACCGAAATCCTGGCTTTATACAGGCAATACTTTGTAGTTTGTAGTTTTCTAGAGTTTTTCTAGTTTTTGGCGTCTCATAGCTTTCTCTAACTGGAAAATAAGCGGGAAAACGGCCGTTCTGTCGTAACTAAAAGAATTCCTATCATGTAACCCCTTAAAATGTTCGAAATCGTTGGAATTCTAGCAAAAATGGGGTTCAAAAAGAGGATAAATCGGTGCACTTGCTGGAATTCCGAATTGCTACAGTTGACAGGCTACCTCCGCTTCCTGCAGCGCTCCTTCAGTGTACGGTGGAGACGACATACGACCGAAGGATTCTTCTGAATTCGGTTCTGAATTTCGCCAATTCTAATCGTTTTATTCTGCCGAGCTTAAATGTCACCAAGTACACTTTTACGCGCTAAATTTTAAGTTAAACTATGCAGGAACTTGTATGAGAATTAAAAAATATCAGAGCGGAATTTATAGCAAAAAGCTAGTTCTTTTCGAGTGCAAGCCGCCATATTCTTTTTTGCCCGAAAAAGTACATCGAAAAGTATGTATTTTAGCAGAAAATAAAGGTTTTTTCAAAGAAGGTCGCTCAAAAAATGGTTGTGAATTTTCGACTTTTGCGCATTCGGGGTTTACGTATTAGACGATCTTTTCTCGCTTTTCCTTCGTGTGTTAATCTGGGTTTTAATAGATATTTACATTTCAGAATGAAGAGGACTCTGTCGCAAGAGAGGCTCGGAGACGAGGAGATCCACGTCGTCGACGTGTCTCACGAGGAGGAGATCCCGCCCCAGGGAAACGCCGTCAACATCGACCCGAATGCAATGATGCATCACGAGGTACCTTTTCGGCGTGTTTAAAACGTATTTTAGGTTGCTCTTTACCACGAGCTCGCCGTGGCCATCGACAGCAGCCACCGCGAGTATCTGCCAGTCAACAGCCCGCGTCCACGAGGCGTGGTGAGCCTTTTTCTTCTAAAAAATATGGTTTTTACCAGTTGCAGTTGCATTTGCGGGGAATTCTTTAGTTCCAGCATTCCAGCGTGCGGCGTTCGAGCAAATTTGTAAAGTTTGAGCAAACTAGCCAGCCCTCGAAGTTTGTGGTTCGAAATTTTTCAAAATTGCTCGATCACTCTAGCGCCTGAACGCTATAACTTTAAAAATTTGCTCAAAAGTTGTATCCTAAGAAAAACACCCCTATGATTCAACGTATATGGATCGGAACAGGATTATTTATACCATTCGAAAGCCCTTGAAGCGGCGAGTTTGCAACAAGCTTCATAACAATCTTTTTATTTGAACGTGAAATTTTACACGCAATTTTGTTAAATTTTCGGGTTTTTTCCGGGTTGCAGACCAGCCAATTTGCCTCAATTTCTCCGCGCAAAATGACCGAAAGTTGACGTTCATTAGATTTAGAGGCCCTTGCTCAATCTTTGCAAATGCGTTATAACACCGCGATTGACATAAAGATATATTTTTTGAAGATCTTTGCAAACTCGCCGTTTCAAGGGCTTTCTAATGGTGTAACTACCATGATGATCCAAACCCTCTCTGTCGCTTTAAAGAGTGTTTTTTTGCGAGGTCATATGTAAGCTTCCGCTTTTCCCTAAATATCCTTCATTTTCAGCTACAACTCATGGCCGCGGCCGCCCAGCGACTGCGCGCGCAGACAGCTTACATTGATAACCTCGTGCTGCAGCTGTAAGCTTTTTCTGGACGATTTTTATCAATTTTCAGGGATACTCGAGCTCGCGTGCTACAAGCCCCACCTATTGCGCCCCGCCAACCCGGCATGCAGCCAATGCCGCACTACCCAATTCGTCCACCACCCGCTCAGCACTGGCAGCACCACCAGCCGACGGGCCCGCGCTATCGGGTGCAGCGCGTGGTGCCGCAGAATGTTGCTGGTTGGTTTTGTAGTGTCTTTATGAAATTTCAAAAGCCGCCAAAGATGAATGGGTTTTGATTCTCAAAATAACGTTCTGGCGAGCTTTTCTCTGGGGGTTAAAATATACTTTTTGGCGCCTGTCCATAAAACCTAGCTGCTTCGTTGTTAACCTTGTCTTTAAGTTTAGAAAACAAAAATTGTTATTAGGTTTTTAAAATAACGTTTGCGGGCCCTTTATCTGGGTTTTTTGGGCGAAGGGTGTCGTTTTTAGGTCAGCTTTAACGTTCCGCATCAGCATCCCCGGCCCGGAAAACCTAGCTGCTTCGTTTTTGAGTAATTTTTTAAAAGTTAGAAAACTAAAAAAAGCCTTAGATTTGTTGATTGTAAAAATAGCTTGCTTATGGCATGCTTTTGGTCCTGGACTACCTTGGAGTAATCGCCCTGGGCCTAAGTAATGCGCTAAACACCATTTCAATGTTTGTAGCAACGTTTTAAGTATAGAAAGCTAATCAAATTTTATTAATTTGCGCATAATGTGGTTTTTGGTAAAGCGTACGAAAATGATCAAAATTTCAATCTTTTGGCATTTACTAGTATTCCCTAGGACCTTTAATAGCCCAAACTATGAAGTTTTTAGATAAAAACATCAAAATGGCCCGAATTTCAAGCTTATTACCTTTTCTAAATGTTCTCTACGACTTTTTGCGGACCAAAATACTTGGAAGAATATGAAAATACGCTAGAAAACGCCAAAACGCTAACTTTTACTGGATTTTTAAGGAAATCACACTTTTTACGACTTCTTGATGACCTCTACGAATTCTAGGTAATCATCATCCTCCGCAACATCATCCTCCTCCACATCACCCGGTCATCAACCAGTACGCACAAGTCGCACCCGCCGAGCGCCCACAGCGTCAACCAGTCGTCACCACGGAAATTCCGCAGCCGACCATGCCCCAAGACTTTACGGTGCCGACCGGCCAGCAGCCGCCAGCCGCTGAAATCGTCCTCGCCCATCAGCAACAACAGCAGCCTGTCCACAATCAGTACGCCGCCCCGGCAGAAGTTGTTGATCAGCAGCCGCCTCAGCCACAGCACGAAGACCAACAGCCGCCTCAGCCACAACACGTAGACCAGCAGCCGCCTCAGCCACAGCACGAAGACCAACAGCCGCCTCAGCCACAACACGTAGACCAGCAGCCGCCTCAGCCACAGCACGAAGACCAACAGCCGCCTCAGCCACAGCACGAAGACCAGCAGCCGCCTCAGCGACAGCACGAAGTCCAGCGGCCGCCTCAGCCGCAGCACGAAGACGTGCAGCCGGCCGGCGGCGAGCAAAACGCTTTTGAGCACGATCGCAAAAATTTCGGACCGCGAGGCGTACGGCAAGAGGCTACGTGAGTTTCTAAATTGTTTTCTTTAGTTTTTTTATTCTGGTTCGGTAGCGGGGGGCTATGTTCGTTTATTCAGCCTAGCCTTCTCGAGAATAAAATATAAGATAGTTTTATTGTCTTTTTAGAAGTGGATAAGGTTTACTCAAATTCTAAAAAAAATTGCCAACTGAAGTTTAAAAAATGTTCTCTTACGGACCTCCAGAAAAAGATTCGCATTTTCCTGGCCCTTTCCCCCCGCTAATGAACCAACCAACCAACCCTTTTTGCATTCGAATTAAATGTAGCAATTTGCTCTACATTTTAGAACGCCCACCCAGCGTGGCCGTACAATGCCCCCACGGCGCCAAAGCGCTCGCAAGCCCGTGCCCAATCCTCGGTTCCCCGGCTTCTCAATGCCGACTCCAACAGCGGAGGTGATCCCGAAAAATCGCATGATGCGCGTTAACAAGAAGGTACATTTTTGTTGCTTAAAACCTTTGAATGTCTTCTTTTTCAGGTTAGTACCGGCTCTAGGCGCGGCCACAAGTTTCCGCACATGGAGCGGATCGCCGTCGTGGGATCCGGGAAGACCTCGGAAATTCCCTCCGAGCCACGCTCGGATGACATTGGCGTTGTGACCATGGAAGGCGAGCAGGCAATGGACGCTTCGAATTTTCGTGGGTTTCTTATCGTTAAAATTAATCTTTTTTTTTGGTACTTTCGCGTTATCTGAGGGGGATTTTTTCTTTTAAGTTTATAAACGCACATTATAAAGTGGAATAAGGTATATTAATGGGGGTTTTAGTCAAATATTAATGGGGGAATAACTATAATTCCAATGGAAAGGCAATAAAAAACGTAAAAGTACTTTTTGAGTCAAAATGGTGGCCGAAAAATCGATATTTTTTTTGGATTTTTATTCGATTTTCAAAGTGTATACACCTCAGAATAGTAAAGTCCGTTTAGAAAAATTCTTGTTTTGTAGCTGCGCTATTTATATTAGAAAAATCGGATCCTAAGCTTCGGA